TTTTGTTGACCTTTGTCCATGGAAGGTCCCTGCAAAATTTCATTGAAATTGGTTCAGGGGTTTTGGAGAAGAAGTCGAAAATGTAAATTGTTTACGGACGCACGACGGACGACGGACGACGACGGACAAAAGGCGATCGCAATAGGTCACTTGAGACTTTGTCTCAGGTGACCTAAAAAGTTGATGCCATACGGGCGACAGATGGACTACGGACACCGCACAATGGCATAAGCTCATTGCTCTTCGGGCAGGTGAGCTTAAAATGGCGTTTGCTCTGGTTGGAAATTTGAACAATTAAAAACCGAGGACTCTGCTGACGAAATTTAGCAGCTGTTGGTGATAATAAGAGCGGATCTGGATCAATAAAAAATCGATTTATAAATATATGCGAGATATTTGTTGTGTCAGCACTTCATAACTCTCCGATACCAAACGTTGTCCGAGAATTCCATGTTTTCATACAGTAGTGCGCTATGGCCCCACACCAGACATCTATCTGTCAAAATGTCTAAGTCTGGTGTCAGTGCCTGAGGAAACTTGGGCTAATAAAGATGTTAAGAATGTTTGTGACTAATATATTCAACTATACTGCTGGGATTAATGCAGGAATAGAAAGTTAGTACCCTTTTTTAAATAGGGGAATATGCACTAGAGATGCATGACCTGTCCAGTAAAGGCTGTTAATTATATAGACGCTTCAAATTAAACAAGAGGCCCAAAGGGCCTGTATCACTCACCTGGATATCTAAGCAATCATGGCAAAATATTGTCCAAATGAGATACAAGGGAATATGCCCGAGACCCCAAGGCCAATCCTTGTAGTATATCTGCATTAGATTTTTCATGCCCAGCAATTTTATGTATGGTTATTGGATGGGGATCTCAACTGTTTCAAAGCTGTGACTCAGAAACTAGATCCCTAGGGTTGTGTCCAGACCCCAGGATCAATTCTAATATCATGACTGCATTCGTCTCTTTTTGTCCAGCATTTGTATATATAGTTTTGGGGTGGTGATCTTAACCATTTCGAAGTTATGACCCAGGGGTTAAGTCTCCAAGGGTGGGGCAGACCCTAAGGCCATCCTGGAAGCATATGTGCATTCATCTCTTTATACTCATTAATTGTATATATGGTAATAGGGAGGGGATCTCAACTGTTTCCAAGTTGTGGACTAAGAAACTAGGTCCCTAGGGGTTCAGTCAGACCCCAGGGTTTATTCTAATATCATGACTACATTCGTCTCTTTATACCAAGCATTTGTATATATAGTTTTAGGGTGGGGATCTCAAATTTATGACCCAAGGACTATGTCTCCAAGGGTTGGGCCAGACCCTAGGGCCATCATAGAAGCAAATGTGCATTCTTCGCTTTATACTCAGCAATTATATATATGGTTATACGGTGGGGATCTCAACTATTTCCAAGTAATAATCTTTTTTTGGCCCCACCCCTTAGCCAGTGGGGTCAGCCCCAACATTTGTACAATTTTGAATACCTGCCTCCCATAAATGCTTCCCACCAAATATGATCGATATCCCTGGCATAGTTCTACAGAAGAACTTGTTTATAGCAATTTAGCCAAAGTGCCCACTTTTGGCCCCACCCCTCAGCCCCCTTGGGGGTCAGCTCCACCATTTGTACAATTTTGAATCACTTTCACCTATGCTTCCAGCCAAATATGGTTGATGTCCATCACTTAGTTCCGGAGAAGAAGTCGCTTAAAGCAATATAGCCAAATACTCTGTGTGGCCCCGGCCCCTCAGCCCCTTAGCGGGTCAGGCCCACCATTTGAACAATTTTGAATCTCCACCACCTAGGGATGCTTCCAGTCAAATATGGTTGATATCCATCACTTAGTACCAGAGAAGAAGTCGCTTAAAGCCATATAGCCAATACTCCCTTATTGGCACTGCCCCTCAGCCCCCTGGAGGGCCAGCCACACCATTTGTACGATCTTGAATCCCTGCCTCCCATGAATGCTTTTGATCAAATATGAACGATATCCAGTGCATTTAGTTCTACAGAAGAAGTCGTTGGTAGCAATATAAACAAATTGCTCCCTTTTGGCCCCGCCCCTCAGCCCCACCATTTGTACAATTTTGAATCCCGACCACCTAGGAATGCTTCAAGTCAAATTTAGTTGAATTCCAATCAGTGGTTAAGAAGAAGAAGTCGATTAAAGAAATTGTTGACGTAAATACGGACAACGGTCGCCACGGTATGACATAAGCTTACCTTGGTCCTTTGGACCAGGTGAGCTAATAAGAATAAAATCCCTTAATCCCTATGGTAGGAGAAGGAATTCAAAGGTTTTACCTCTATTTCCCATATTCGACCTCGACCCACTGCCCCCAAGGGGGGCCACACCCACTGTTAATACAAAATTGAGTACCCTTGGCCCAAGGATGTTCCAGACTATTTAGGATAAAATCCCCTAATCCCTACGATAGAAAAAGGATTTTAAAGGTTTTCCCTCTATTTCCCCTATTGGGCCCAAGCCCTTTGCCCCCAGGGGGCCACACCCACTGTTTATACAAAATTGAGTCCCCTTGGCCTAAGGATGCTCAAGACCAAATTTAGTCAAAATCTACTTGGATGTTCAGGACAAGTAACGTTTTAAAGGAAAAGTTGACGGACGACGGACACTGCGGTATGGCATAAGCTCACCATGGGCTTTTGGACCAGGTGAGCTAATACAATCCCTTAATCCCTACGGTAAAAGAAGGATTTTAAAGGTTTTACCTCTATTTTCCATATTCGGCCTCGGCCCACTGCCCCCAAGGAGGCCACACCCTCCGTTTATACAAAATTGTGTTCCATTGGCCCAAGGATGCACCAGACTAAATTAGAATAAAATCCCTTTAAAGTTTTTACCTTTATTTCCATTGTCTGGCCCAGCCCCTCTGCCCCCAGGGGGGTCAGGGCCACACCCACCATTTCTGCAAAATTGTGTTCCCTTGGCTCAAGGATGCTCCAGATTAATTCGAATAAAATCCCTTAATTCCTACATTAGAAGAAGGATTTTAAAGGTTTTACCTCTATTTCCATTCCATTGAGTCCCCTTGGCCTAAGGATGCTACAGACCAAATTTAGTCAAAATCTACTTGGCCGTTCAGGACTAGTAGTGTTTTAAAGGAAAAGTTGACGGACGCACGACGGACAGACTGACGACGGATGTTGCGTAATGGCATAAGCTCACCATGGTCCTTCAGACCAGGTGAGCTAAAAATCAAACAAAGTTATTGATATTATATTACTTACCTCAGTATTTGTCTTAGGTTTCTTTTTTAACCTACAAAAGAAACGTCAAATACAATTCTATTGCTTTTCTTACGAGGAAAGGAAATTGCACTCAGCTTAATGTTAATTATCAGTATTTTGTTTCTTGCTTTGCTGATTTCATATTTTGTGTTTTCTATTGAACAAATTGAGGCAACATGTCTAAATCTAAACTAGAAATTGTTGGCTAACAATTTGACGGGCTTTTCACCTATATCACACAATGAGGTAAAGACTTTTAAATTTTGAAATGTTGAAACTTAAAAGTTAATCAAGTTAAGAAATTTTAGCAGTACTCCAAAACAGCAGAACAAAAAAGGTGTTTAACTTTTGCTTTGGGTTATATTTTTGTAGGTGAACGATTTTCTGCCAGGACTTTTACTACTGGTGGAAGGGAAGTAACTCGCAAATAGTTCTGGTATCTTTGAAATTTGTTTCACAAAATTACATGTTCGAATTTGACCTCTACCAAATACCGGAAGTTGATCTTTGATGGTCATTTATGTCCATAAACCTTGTAGCCCGTCGTCCTAGCATGCTACAGACCAAGTTAATATCAATACCCTGGGCATTTCTGTTATTGAGTCTTTTGATGATTTTAACATAATTGACCCCAGTGACCTTGAACATCCGTCAAGGTCATTCATATTATCAAACTTGATAGTCTATTGCTTGAGCATGAATATTCGATAAATATTATGACCTTGGGTGGCTTGGTTATTAAGAAGAAGTTTTTTGAAGTTTGTTTCACAGAATTACAGATTCAAACTTTGACCCCTATCGAAAACCGGAAGTTGACCTTTAATGGTCATTCTTGTGCATACACCACCAATTTTAGTGCTGATTTTTTTAAAATTTTAATACATGTTATATTACAGGGGTTATTCATTGTATAAAAATATCACCCATGGCCATTGTATGCTACTGTACACTGCTACCTTGGAATCCTGAAACAAGGATGTCAGAGGTATACCCATATTTGACCTTTGCATAAAGTTTGACCAAAATCCGTGAAAGAATGAAGTTGCTAAGTGTTTAAATTGAATCAGTTGATGATTTTCTATATATAGCTAGTGTGACCTTGGCCTTGACATTGGATCCCTGAAACACAACGGTGTCCGAAGTATACTCATACTTGACCTTTGTATAAAGTTTGACCAAAATCTGTCAAAGAATGAAGTTGCTAAGTGTTTACATTGAATCAGGACGGGACGGGACGGGGCTGTTGTTTACATAGAATCGGGATGGTACGCGACGCGACGGGACGGACATGGGCAACACTATATGGCCCCCCATTTTATGGCGGGGGCATAAGAATAGTTCTTTTCACCAGTTGGTGAGAAGCCCTAATAAGAATATGTCCCAAACCATCCTCGATACTCCAGAGGTTATGCTCGCCAATATCCCCTACAACCCTGGAATATGTCGTAGTAAAATAGATATTGGATAGATCGCGCATAAAATAAGATCCTAGAAGAATCTTGACACCCACCATCAAAGGATGTGTATTAAATCTTTGCTCTTCATTTTCCTAGCAGGTACTACTACCAAGACCCACGTCGGAAATCCTGAAAGGGAATCTTGAACATTAACTAAAACCTTGTAATGTCAAATATGACAAATCTTATCGTGTTCAAATCTCACAGGGGTGCAATTAACTACTGGTCCACAGCTAGTCTGTGGCCAGTGATTTTCTGGGTGGACCAGTAGGTTTTTCAATAAGCCACCGGGCCAGTAGATATTTGGAAACTTGTCAAATTTTTTAGCAGATTTTAAAAGTTTTATTTTAAGCAGAGAATGCTCCAAAGAGCTTCTAGATTTCAAAATAATCCAAACCCCCATACTATAGAGTGCTTTTGACGCTCGCATGGGCCTTCAACCCTCGTTTTCTGGACCAGTGTACTTCAAACAGGAACAGTAAATTTTTACTTCAACTGGACGTTTGGGTCAGTAACCCCCTTTTTTTTTTAATTCCAACCCTGATTGCATATTTAATTCTATATGCAAAATGCTACAAATTCTTACCTACATTTATTAGATGTGCTTTCAATGAAGTATGACATCTGATAAGCTTATTTCATACATAAAGTGTAAAATAATAAAAAAAAATTGAACTGTCAAAATTCAAGATGGAAGTCTGGTGACCATACTGATTTTGCATGAAAATGGACCATTAGGAAAGTTAACGTAAAATTTGAGAAAGATCCCTCCAGTACTTTCTGAGAAATAGTGCTAAAAAAAAAATTTAACTATGAAAATTCAAGATGACTGCATGTGGGTCATTTTTTGGTTTTCTGATCAGTCCCAAAATTGAAACATGCATAACTAAGGATCATGAATATCTTGCATGTGAATCTGAAAAAGATCCCTTAAGTACATCCTGAGAAATAGCATTAAAAACTTTCAAACTCTCAAAATTCAAGATAGGCACATGTACATGTCACCATTTATGGTTATCAGACCAGTCTCAAAATTGGGTATGCATACAACAAAGGACTAAAGAAACCTTCATACAAAATTTAAGAACGACCTCTCCAGTACAGTACCAGCGCTAACAAGAACTGCTGATTGACAGACAAAATAACGGACAGATGGATTGACAAACGAAGACTGATGGTAGTGGGTTAAAAACCTGACCAAACGCTAGGCTGATATACCTATTACAGAGGTGTGACACAGAACCTCAAAGCGAGTCAATTTTAGCGTTTTATCTCATCAACAAGGTGGCACACACTGAGCCTTCAAATTCCGTGAGTGCAGAGAATGTTAGTGAGTGTAACCCTGGAGTATCGATGGTGGTGCCAAACATGTAGGCAGGAAAACACTGAACCTAGGTGTGCTACTGTACTCCAGTGACCAATGCATGTAGTCACATTAATACTCATATGCCTGTTCATTTTTAAAATAAATAGGAAGTAATATCTTGAAAACTTGAAAGGAAAAAAATGTTTTGGAAACGTCACATACTCTTCTTGCAAATTGGAAATAACACTTCTGTCCGATTCATTGGCTTCAGTCACTGAAAAAAAAATATACATAATTCAAAATGTGTTTTAATATTTAAACATAAACATAAATCAATATTTTTGTAACAATTGATCGGAATGAACGAATTAGATCCAATCGCTCAATGCCTACTTGGCTAAACAAATATATTAATATACTATGAAACCAGAAATATGTCCAAATGAGATGAAAGTCAACCCATCTCCTGTATGGTAATTTTCAGTATAACAAGAGGCATGAATTGCTCAGCTGGTATAAATCTCACACATGTTATCGTAACAAGAGGCCCTAGGGGCCTGCATCGCTCACCTGGTATTAATCTCACAATTGTAACCTTAAAAGAGGACTAAAATAAAGCTACAGGCAAAATATCAGTGTCTTGACTTAAAAGTAATTCAGAAGAATCTGTGAAATGATTAAAACACATTTGCCCCCGGTGACCTTGAAAGTCCAACATATTTGACCCCTGTGACCTGTGAATATGGGTAAAGGTATTTTATTTGAATTAACTTGGTAGCCCTTCATCCCACAGGCCAAATGGCATCATCCTGTTCCTTTTAGTTATACAGAAGAAGTCATTTAAAGGTTTTTAAGAGAATTTACCCCTGTGACTTTGAATACGAGTAAAGGTCATTCATTAGAACAGAATTGGTAGCCCTTCATCCCCACATGCTACCGCCCAAATATCATAACACTGGAGCTTTTGGTATTTCAAAAGAAGTTGTTAAAAGCTTTTTAAGAAAATTGATCCCTGTGATCTTGAATATGACAAATTTGGTAGTTCTTCATCCCAGCATCCTTCTGACCAAATATTATCACCCTGGACCTTTTGGTTATAAAGAAGAAGTCATTTAAAGGTTTCTATGACCCCTGTGACATTCATTTGATCAAACTTGGAAGCCCTTTATCCCTGCATGCTACTGGCCAAATATCATCATCCTGGGCCTTCTGGTTATCCAGAAGAAGTTTTTTTAAAGGTTTTAACATATTTGACCCCTGTGACTTTGAAAATGGGCAAAGGTAATTCATCCCAGCTTCAGGCCAGGTGAGCTAAAAATTAGCCTGATGCACGACATCAGGGGATAATTACCATATCTGTAAACTTTCATTTAAATCGGCCAATTTGTTTATGAGGCAGACAAAGGTTTATTCAACAAAGGGCCATAACTCCTTTTAAAAGGGTTGTAATGAAAAAGAACTATACTTGGATGCACAACGTGAGGGGTCAGTTACCATATCTGTAAACTTTCTTTGAAATTGGCCAAATAGATTAGGAGAAGTAGTTGGGACAAAAAATTTTCAAAACAAACGGGCCAAGTGAGCTAAAAACCATACAAAAATATTATTTGAAATAAATGTTGTTGTTTTGTTTGGCCTTTACTATGGAAAATTGATTTTCAAGAATGGTGATTTTGTAAATACACTACCATAGATATGACTGTTGTGAAATTTGGCGCAGGCGCATTGCGAAATTATCTGTTTGAGAGAAGTTGATGCTTCCAAAAGATTTTGTCAAAAAAGAGATGTACACAATTAAATGTATTGTATTATGAAAAGTCTTTTTTAATGTCTACTTACCATTTATATATCGGGTCCCAATATATTCTTTATCTTTTGCCAGAACATCTGAAACATCACTTTCCGATACTTCGACATATACCCTCCCTGTTTGGTGATATCCTTTATATTCAAATATTACGTCCTGAACATGTATACCTGAAATGATGAAAATGGCAAGAAGATGATATGGAATAAACTGTCTCAAAGGGATTTTATCAATTACATTAATTGATCAGTGTTTTCAAAATATAACAAGAGCTATCGGAGAACAGCATAACTCGCCTATTGGTGATATATGCTATTATATTTACACTTGCATGGCGTTGTCACTATATAGCCTCTTTGAAAGCTGTGTCGTTGATGGGACTTTAATTACCATGCATCACGAGACACAATTCTTAGCGTATTAATACAACACTGACTGGAACTGCAATATCCAATATAAATAAACATGACGGCTGCTGAAATATCGCTGGGCATTGTGAAGTTTGACAATGTCAATGTTGTAAATTAATGTGCAAAATAAACAAAGGCCCAAGAGGGCGTGTATCGCTCACCTGTCATAGCAAAATATTCTCATTAAATATTATATTGCACTAAAAATATTTCCCTCGCAAACTTTGTTGGCTCCATCTGTTGAAACTACCAGCAAAATATTATTATAAGATTCTATGCTTTTTGATTCTTCTTCAGAAGTTGCTTGACATATTTTTCCCTGTGATCTTGTAAGTAGGTCAATGTCATTTTCCTTCTCAAATTGGTTAGCTCTATTCCAAAAAGCTACCAGCCAAATCTTATGAATCCATTCCTTTTAGTTCTCAAGAACAAATCCATTAAAATGTTGTTGACCTCTGTGACCTCTAAAGTAGGTTGAGGTCATTTTCATTTGCAAACTTTGGTGA